GTGAAAAACTTGAGTTTTCACTTGATCATCCAGTCTGTGTGTGTGTGTGTGGACTTGTTGGATTTGCCGCTGACTGACTTTATCAGCCGTCCTTCTTCTTCTCTCCTCCCTGAGGACAGAACTTAACATTCACAGACCTGGATCTTTCTGTGAGCAGAACATGGATCGTCCTGAGCCTCTGGGAACCTGAGTCTCTACTTGGAGGGTTGGGTTTTTTTTTGTTTTTTTTTTTCCCTTCCAGGACCTTTGACAGTGACAGTCATTATTACTCAGGTTCATAACTGACCGTCAGTCTTCAGTACTGACCTCCTGTGTCCATGAACAACCTCAGGTTGTTACAGTCAGAACGTTCTCTGCTGCTGAAGTGAACATGTTACGGGGTTTAAAGGATTCGATTTTTGATTTTAACTTTAAAAACATGACTAATTTGACGTATTTTTAGTCAGAATAATCATAATAATAATGTTGCATTTTGAGTCACAAAGATTTGGCATCATTTGAAAATGGAACTCTGCTTCAGACATAGACTTCATTCCTTCACTTCCTGCCCCCAAACCTCACTGTTATAGAAATATTATATCAGTATTATATCATTATTATATCAGTATTATATCACTATTATGTCATTATTATATCATTATTATATCAATATTATATCAATATTATATCAATATTATATCAATATTATATCAATATTATATCAATATTATATCAATATTATATCAATATTATATCAATATTATATCAATATTATGTCAATATGCCAAACTGTAATCTTCATCCCAACTCTAATCCTAATCCTAATCCTAACTCTAACTCCAGACTAAATCTTGGTGTGTTCAAACATCACGACGTCCCCACAAACCTGGGGGTTTTAGTCAGTGAACGTTACACACGAGGCCGACAGTTGGACTGAACACGATGGGTTTGATTCCCAGTCGCTTTTTCTTATAAAAACAATTTCAGAACGATTGAAACTGAAATGATTAAAGTCGAACACGACGGTCAGCGTTCAGCAGCAGGAACCAGTCAGACGTCGGTGTCGTCTGATACACGGATGCATGTCTTTTTAATGAGTCAGGCGACCTGTTCTCTACACTGCACCACCGTCTGGCTTTAACTCCAGGCAGGAGAAACGCCATCTGTGCAAAACAGAATTGATCGACTGCGGGCTCTTCAGCTGCTGATCCGTTCACACCTACGTCTGCACGCACAGCTGAGTGTGTGTGTGTGTGTGTGTGTGTGTGAGTGTGTGTGTGTTAGGGTGGACGCCCTCTCACCATCTAAAAGGGATTTATGCAGAACCGGGTCCCAGAGTTTTTGCCTGTTACGGTTTTATATGATAAGCTTTTTTTATATGTTTAAAATCAATATGTAATCCTATGCAGGAGCTTATCCCCCTGACACACACACACACACACACACACACACACACTGAGTCACTCTCCATTTGTAAATCTATTTGGGCTTTGTAACACATGGGGGCGGCGGCGCTGCAGCCCCTGATTGATTGGCCGCTGTTGATGATGTTGCCGAGTCTTTCAGGATTGTTAGTTGACTGGAACGGCTGAGAGCAGAGCAACTTTGTTCCACAAGTTGTCAGACTTTAGTTTTGGGGGATTTTGGTAAATGACTGTGTTTGTTTTGTTTGTTTATCTCTCGTGTGTGGATTGACTTTAATGTGTTGACCTCTGACCTCTCTGCCTCCAGCTCTCTATTACATTTAATATGGTTTTATTGATTCAGACTTTTACCACTTCACCCTGTCATACTGAGGGAGTGGGTTCGCAGCCAATCCCAGCAGTCTTTGGGGGCGGGGGGGCCGGATTGAACACCCTGGCGGGCCGGTTTTGGCCCGTGGACCGTATGTTTGACACAACATATTCCAACATGTTTTTAGTCCGTGGGAGGAAAAACTGGGAATCGAACCTATGAGCTTTTTACTGTAAGGCAGTGGTTCTCATTTATTTTCTGTCATGCCCCCCCCCACCTTGGGGACAGAAATGTTTTCATGTATTTGAAAAAAAAAATCCAAATATAATTCAAGTTAAAACATATTCCATTGACATCGACGGTTGTTCATGTCCAGATGGTTCAGGTTCAAATCTCAAAATGAGACTTTTTTTTTTCCAAAGTGTAAATTTAACAACATTTCTTTGTTGACGACAGCCCAGGATTATTTTCCTGCTCCGTCCTCTCATTATTCCGCGTCTCCTGACACCATTTGGACCGGGGCCAAAACCAGCATTTATAGAAACCAGAGGATGTGAACCGACAACCCTGTGAAAGGAGAACGTCTCCTCAGGTGTTTGTGAGTTTACACAGGTGGAAAAAAAAAAAAAGATTTTCGTTTAGATAAGTGGAATCTGACGTCACAGTGGGGGAGAGAAGTGGGGGAGAGAAGTGGGGGAGAAATCTGCATGAAGTCGTGCGTCTCCTCGCGTTTGAACCAGTTTGCTCTCCTGAATAAATTTAGTGAGGAGATTTTAGGAGGGAAAAAAGGAGGGATAAGGAGTGGGAGAGCCGGGGGGGAGGAGGGTGAGGGAGGGGGGAAAAGGGTGAGGGAGGATTTGAACCAACGCATTCTTGTGTGCCTCGTGCAGACTCACATGGTTACCATCGTCGTGCACGGCCAGGCTAATCTGAATACACGCCCACCATGTGCACCCCCCCCCCCCCCCCCCCCCCCTCCCCCCCCCGGCGGTGGG